TGTGCGTCATAAATTGAGGTCAGCTTTAGACCATACATTCCTAGCTTCTCAACTCAGACTCGTTACCTCTACTCGGGGAATTGATTTGGATCAAACTAACCATGGCTGGGAAATCGGTTCCCCCTTACACACTGTATACCAGTTCATCTGCAGTTGCGGGGACGCATACACGGACAAAGCTAACCGACAGCTCTCACAACGGATGGTCGAACATATTCCAAAGTGGCTGGTGTAATCGATAAAGCAACCGATAAAATTGGTGGTCAAGATATCCAGGGTCGCATGTTGTAAAATATACCACGACAGCAACACAAACAGTCTACCCCATTTGGTGTTTTCAACCTTCATTACTCAATCACAATGCTAAGATTTTGGCAATTAGTGAAGCGTTACGCATTTGATTACCTCACCCGACCTTTTTGATACAATCAATCCACTTACCGTGGAGTTGACGTTCTACTCCGATATTTAGTAATCTTTGTTTAACTGTGCCTGTTCATTCACCATAATTAAGCAACCCCCCCCCATGCGCTATATATGTGCCTGNTTGTTTTAAGTCAGCGATTAAGCAGATTAAACGAAATATCCATATCTCGCGTCATTTGTCTTCTTTCTGTATTGATGAAATGAATAAAGGAGGAGCTCAATGCATCCCTCATTTGTAGTTGTTTGCAGGATTTGTTGCATAACACTTTCGAAGTTTCCAGATACTTTGACACTGAACCCTCTTTCTGAATTCTCGCACTACTCTAGATCGCAAAACCAGATGTTGGATCGCTCAGCAGCAGTACACAATTCAGTCCCGCAGTCAATCGACGTGTGGGCGTCATGAACGGGATACCCACGAGGCTACTTCATTCTAGAACGAATCAAATTCTCGGTGTAAGCATATCACTCTTGCTAACTATTTGATAATTTGTTCCAAATTTCAGTTCGGTTTTCAGTTTTTACAACCATTTGGATAAAAGAGCAGGATCAGGATTGGGATGTTGAAAGCAAATTCAAATGGAAGATGGAGATTTCATATAGCATGGTGTTAGGGGAATAATGAGTGAATGCACGAGCGCGACGTTTTTGAGACCCAGCCAATATCACTCAGTGTCTCTAACCCTCGGTGACCATCATCTTGAGGTCCCCCAGTCAGGTAACCTAACGGGACCTATGTGACCCAGTCTCCTGGATTAGGATTTTCATACCCTGAGGCCAAGTCTTCGTTTCACCACCCTTGACCTTTTCCAAACACACCCTGCCTCGGCAAACATTGCTCGCCGTGGCAATCTACCTGGGGTAACACATGCCCCAACCAAGACTTGGCTGGTTTTCAGAGAGCGGAAGAAACTGTTATTTTCAAATTTGAAATAACATTTATCAATTTCTTGTGAGGAAGTGAATGAACACATTGCAATAACAGAATGCTAGCAGTAATTCGTGTCTGGTATATATATATATATATGTAGGAGATAATTTGTTTGATTGTGCTTGAAAGTGTAACAGTCTGTAACTGTGTGCGGTGCATCACATAGACGATGTGTCCCATTTCCACGGTTGCATCAGTAGGCCGGTCAAAGAGAAATTGTACACAAAATTCTGTTTCACGACCCAATTAAGCTTAGGCATGAATTTAATCCTTTGGCCTATGCACATACTTCTCGTGCTGAGAGTAGGAATTCCAACTGAGGTCGATGAATGACTTCGTTGAGGCTGATGAGGAATTTTTTCATCGAGAGAGAGCAGAGGAATTCAGAACTGAAAATCACAGAGGCAAACTGTACAGCTGCTTTAGCTTTGTTGCACGTTATCGGCTATGTGAAATCCAAAAAAGAACCCGTTTGATCACCACCACAGTCAAGCTCTTTTTGTTGGGATGTGGGTATGCCAATAACTTCCGAAATGGACAAAGATACAGACACTTTGTGTCATGAATTGTCTCTCCGGAATGTAAACTGAAAATTAATAACAAAGAATATTTACAATTCATCGACTTATCCATGAATCTGTTCACGCATCAACTTTGATTAACATCCTACCGAGAGCGTGTCTCCTCGTACGAGGACGTCAACTGTTGATAGTACCCCGAGTGACTGAAAAGGAAAAAACTGAAATAGTTGACCATACCCCACTCTCTCTTTCTCTCTCTCTCTCTCTTGGGCATCTCCGAGTGCGACTTTTTGATCCGGTAAAAGTGTCGCCCAACTGCTGATACGTGTCTTTGTACAACTCGTTAATTCATGTGATACCCAATCTGACAGCGATGGATGGGCCCCTAGGAGAGAAAAACATGCGCGTGAAGGGTGAACACGATTTGACGCGTGGGAAACATCATAGGACTCCACCTAAACTGTGTTTTACTGTCTCCTTTTATTCACCAATGTGATTCAGAAAATAGAAAATACAAACCAAGTCACGTATTTGCTTTATGCACCCCGAAAGGTGGATATTCAGCAGTCACATGGTCAACCAATAATTATTGAACACAATTATAGCAGGATTATTGTAAGCAAGGAAAAGGAAAGCAATCTACGAGATGAGTGAATTAATTTCCGATTTGATGCGTTCTGAGCTGAGAAGAAAACGGGCAAGATAGTGCACCACAGAAGACCGATAAGCGGTCGTCAGAGCAAAAATACAATTATGGCGGGGTCGGGTGGAAGAGGAGGACGCACACGTAACAAGATCTTGACATAACGGATGTGAAGGGTTGTCTATGAATTTGTTTGTTAACGAAAAGCATGACTTTGTACGTTGGGAAATGATGAAATGACGGACAGTTTCACGGGAAATCTAGCTACTTCTGGATAAGTATGTTAATGATCTGGAAAGCAATTTAAAGTCCTTTTTGATCATCCCTGGAAATATTACTGCGGGCCCGTACAACCAACGGGGTAAAATACAAGTAAAAATAAAACGTTTCGTCAAAAAGCGAGAGATGGACAGTGCTTTCAGACGTAAAACATAAAATAACAGTTTCCTAATCAGTAGTTTCTAAGAAAAAAAGCATTTGTTATCTTTAAACACAAAATTTGATGGTAATTTGCCTTGGTTTGCCATCAAATCACACTTGCTTTTGTGCAAAGAAACGTTCACATCAATAACTGGTAACTACTGTCATTGGACTGTGATTCATAGAACTCGATCAGAATAACTTGGACGCTAGCGATCACTTGAAGATCTAAATGGACAAAGCACCTGAGTGCATGTAGTAATTGTAGTGTTAATAATTGAAGTATAGTATAGTATAGTATAGTATAGTATTGTAGTAGTAATACGCACTGAATACGAAATACGAATCACGGAATTCGAATCAAGGATTAGCAATCACGGATTGGATCACATAAGCACTGGATCCCACTGACATTAGTACGCAATATCACACATAACCGCGAAACGAGGAAAAAACCACAGAAGCTGTAGTTCATTTATTGGAAGAAATAAAGGGGATTAAATAATATGTACAAAACAAGTTCATTGGTCATCTAGGCCTCTGCCAATCGCGTTCTAGTATTTCTGGTGTCGTACAGCTTTCTGGGCAGCACGGTTTCTGATTGGCTGTTACAATCGATCTATGGTATGTGGTGCAGAAGCTGCTGTATGCACGCACTTTGCTGACGTCACCCATGAAGCTTGATTCATTACAGTTGTCCGAAAACTGTAACTTGTCGCTCCGGAGTATGCGTAAACTCGCAGGCTGGGATCACCACAGGGTATCGCAACGATACCGAACAGTAAAGTAAAATGCAATATTATGCAATAGAGATAACTATAATAATTTTAGTATGCACTGATCACGAAACAAAAATCATGGATGCCACGAAAGCAGTGAATCACCATGGTGCTAGCAAGGTCGTGTCCCAGGTAACAGAGACGCGAGGAAAAGACCACAGGAATAGCAGTTCATTCATTGAAAGAGATCATGGGGTTTACATGATATATACAAAACAAGTTCATTGGTCATTCAAGTCTCTGCCAATCTCTTTACAGTATTCATGGCATCGTACAGCCGTTCGGCTTCTGCTTTGTCCGTACAATCGGACTATGGTTTGTAGTTCATAAGCTGTAACGTGTAAGCGCTTTGTGAGTAGTGGTGGATGCGCATAACTGATGACGAGGCCTAACAAGAGCGATGCTCGAGTCCATAGTGTATCCCCGAGTGTGTGGTTGACTGTGAGAGCTGAGGAGTGTGCGTGAATGTGAAGTCTGAAGAATGGTCAGTTTTAATCAATTACTGTTAAAAATTTCTATCACCTAAAGTACTGTGTATACCGGATTGGAAACGACTGTCACCGATTAACTTGCATAGCGTGCACCATTCGATGCGATTGATCAAGATGGACTGCTGGCTGTCACTGAGGTAAGTACATTAAACTTTCCACACAAATCCAGTGATGAACATCATGCAGTATATTGTGGTGATCCTAGCCTACGAGATGACGCGTACCCTGGGTCGACGCGCCACAGTTTTTGGACAACTGTGATCAATCAGGCTTTACGGGTGACGTCACCAAAGCGCTTAGACCTTACAGCATCCAGAATACAAACCAAAGATCGATTTTACCAACCAATCAGAAGCCGTGCGGCCCAGACAGAACTGTTCAATACTAGCACGTGATTGGCAGAGGCTTCCATAACCAATGAACTTATTTTGTACATATTATTTAAACCCCATAATTTCCTCCAATAAACAAACTGTTATTCCTGTTGCCTTTTCCTCGCGTTTTGGTTACGGAGGATATTGCGTACAAAGACCAATGTGATCCAGTGCTTACGTTGCGTCCGTAATTGCTGGTCCGCGATTTCTAATCCATAATTCGTATTTCTTGATCAGTGCATAACACAGTCACTACAATTTCTACAATTTCTATCCCTGTGTTCAGTCTACAGGTAGATCTACTCGCGCGGAGTATGTCGGTAACCTGACGAGCCCACATCCGCGACTAGCTCGGCTGATCACCTTGTCCGAACCCGGACCCCTACCACATTTATGTCATATGCTGTTCGTGCAGCATCACCGTTCGTCATTTACTCGAAGACTGCACAAAACCGAGGCCGTCGGGGCTACCCAAAATCACATTGAACCGATCGGTGCTAACAAACAGCATTCGGGTTTCGAACCAGTGGACGAATTCGAGGTCATTCTCAGCTTGTCCAGTTTGACGTTTGCACGCACTGTGCAACTTCAGCATCGGGCACGTAAACAGCGTCTGTTGAAAAGACTGTTACACGAGGCTTACGGGAGTCGGACACAGCGTCGTGTGAAAAAACGAGCTACAGATGGGGACGGAAAGCAAACGGTTGGAGGAACGGGATTACTGAATAAAAACGCCGCATTAGTTGGTAAGTTACTTTTTACGGATATCGGTTCTGTCATTTTGCCATCGATCGATCAGTATCCAATATCCAATGCGTTTTGTGAGGATGATTCTCAATGAAAATTTGGGAAACGCAACGAATCTTCTTTACAGTGCATCGCTTTGGGTAGTCACCATAAATATTCCTCGATTATTTAATAGATTGTTAAATGATCTAAGGTGGTCCCCACTGAATGAATCTATATGCCAAATATTAGGTTGCAAACATAACAATGTCTACCATAAACCTAAACTTAGACGAGCTGTCGTAGATAAAAAGGAACCTACAACGGGTGAGAGAGCTAGTGGAGGTAGTCACCATGACTTGTTGGCCGGTTGTTTTCCCTGTTGGAACTTAAACAAGCACGGGAGTTCGCACTTCTTGGCCTGATTTGCCAAAGCATCTGTGGTAATAACACAGCGCGCTTCG